AATGAAAAACTTCAAAAATGGCAAGAAGAAGTGGAATCTCTGCCATGGAAAGTTGGAATTAGAAAACTGAAATTATTAAGATTCTATATTCAAAAACAACGTCAAGAAGATTTAAACAAAAAATTAAAGATTGACGTCAGAAGAACAAATTTGAGAAAATTAGAACCTTCTTATAGACAGCAAGCTTTTTAAGAAGAGGGAGAAGTATAACTCTGTTCTGGGTAATAAATGACCATAAACTAAGAGATCATTGATTGTTCTCTTATTGCATTTTTAGTTATAGAGGCAGAGTTTATTTTTTCACTTTCTACCCACCGAACATCAATGACTCTGCCTTCTGCACCTGGAGCTACTTTTAAGCAAGTTTCAAAGAAACTATAATTTACTTCTATCTTGTTGATTAATTTAAATGAACCATATCTAGATATCTAGGTATCGAACAGTAATGGCTGTTCCCAAACTCATTGACAAAAAGATACAAGAACAACCTGCACAATGTGGACACGCGAAACAAGCTCTGCTGATGCTTTGAGAAGAGATGTGCTCTGATCCCTATCTCATTTCCACACAAGTGGTTAACTGGGACCCCCCCCACTTTCAGCTCCTGACAATTGGTGGCCAGTTTGGTTACAATCACCCTTGGGTTTGTTATAAATGGCTTGATAACTTGTCTCAAACTTTGGCCCTCCGTTAACCTGCTCTCGTCTTCTGTTGGGAGATGCCCTCATTTAATTTCCGTTTCATATGCTGCGCGGTGAGACCCATAGTACCCATAGTAGCATGTGCCGCTTTACAAACAGCACAACAGGTAACCAGGGTCGATTCTTATGTTGCACTGGCTGATCTGGGATCAACTACCTGTAGCCTGTAGGCGGTAGATCTGGCAATCTGACATAGGTGGTCAATTGAGGATGACTCCCTCTGAGCTTGTATGTTTGCAGGCCAGTGTAGCAGGCGAGGATGGTTGACAGATGTGCTGTGAGTACAGTTTTGTACAGATCTCTGTGGCTGATTACTGACTCTCTGTAAGTCATGTCAGGCATGGGACAACAATGGCGACCGCAGACTCCCAAGGTCATGAAGTTGGGGTTGTTATGTTAGATTCCATACATTTAATTCTTGGCGTGAATGCCACACTCTCTCTCTCTCTCTCTCTCTCTCTCTCTCCACCACACACAAATCCCCATAACTGACATGGATAATGTGGGATTTCCTCTTTCATCATTTAAAATGACCACAGAATGAATGGTGCAACTCGTTACCTGACCGTCTTTTTGCACAACAGCTCCATTGAAAATCTTGAGATCGTTCAATTCATGAAATGACTGATTGATTGATTAACAACTAGAACACACTGCATCAACAGTTGAAGGGTGGTCAATGAGATGTGTAAGCAGAAATGCACAACAGCTCCCTTGTCTGATGTCGTTGACGACAACAAGGTCACATGACTACTCAAGATTGGCTTAGTTTCATGACAAGTGGAGAGAGAGAGAGAGAGAGAGAGAGAGAGAGAGAGAGAGAGAGAGAGAGAGAGAGAGAGAGAGAGAGAGAGAGAGAGAGAGAGAGAGAG